TTATAGATAAAATAAAATGTACACAAACCTGTATTTTACCGAAGAATGCATCAATTCGATGGCGCTTAGAACTGCTCTCTCGTGAAGAGAAGACGCAAATCCCCGTGATAAATAACTCAACCGCTGGGTTACGTCTGACCCTGGATCTGAGTAACACAAAAACTAGGCCTACCCAAACACTGGGTTGTTATGTCTGACCCAGGAGCTGCAAAACAACCCAAACACTGGGTTGTTACATTTGACCCAGGAGCTGGGTAACACAAAAACTACCCAAACACTGAAAAAATAACCCAAAAAAATGAAACAAAAAAAAAAGGCTCAACCCAGCATTTGGGTTAAAAAAATAACCCAGGATTTTTTAGTGTGTGCACGGCGCGCTTAGGCTAAACAAAATGTTCTCGACCGTTGGTGTGGACGCTAATAAAGTTACCATTATAGTGAACGGGACTTAAGAGAAGACTACATAAATGAGATTATAATGTAGTTATAATTATTTATTAAAATAAAACCTGAACATTGTTTCGTTCGTTTAATGATTCCTCAAACCAGGAGTTGTCAAGCTTTTTGGGGCCAGGGACCCCTTGCAGTGGAGAAAAATTTCCAAGGACCCCCTCATAATTATAACCGTGATTAAAGGCAGGGTATGTGATTTTTCAAAAACACGTTAGAAAACTGATTTGGGCCGAATAGCAAAACAAACTTGAGGCCAATCAGCAATAAGGGGCGTGTCTACTCATGATGTGGAGGAGAGCGCGTTCAGTGCATGGGACGGACATTAGCCGAGCCGAGCGACAGAAAGATAGAGATGGCGGATAAAAAACAAAAGAGGAAAACGTCTGCGGAACGATAAGGCAAGAAGTAGGACCCGTGTAAATATCGGATCAGCTTTCCAGCGCTGGAGAGAACTCAAGGAGCGGAGGCCTGCGATCGGACGCCGAGGTCACCGTGTCTACAACAGCTAAAGTCTGACTACACTGGACGCGATCAAACGACCGTTGAAAACCATTTGAAATGTGTGTCAGCACGTCATAAATAGAACCCGGCAGCAGTTTTCTGTAGGGGATTTGTTGCGCCGCGCCGCTCACGTCCGATGTAGACACGGTGTAACATTGGTTTTGCTTTGTTTCACAGAACTAATCGTTGCCTGGGTTGCGTACGTATATGTGGGGCGGAGCTATCAAAATAGGGGCAAGACCCTTTTGGGGTAGGGGGCGTGTTTGTTTTGGTGATTTCAAATATCAACATTGGCTACCAGAAATCACTTACTCTGCCTTTAATATGCCCGGTCTCATGAAAATGCGTCCAAATAAAAACGAAAACTTGTGGTTCCTCAAACCAGGAGTTGTCAAGCTTTTTGGGGCCAGGGACCCCTTGCAGCCGAGAAAAATTTCCAAGGACCCCCTCATAATTATAACCGTGATTAATATGCCCGGTCTCATGAAAATGCGTATAAATATAAAAACGAAAACTCGGTGAAAACAAATATCCTATATCATAATGATAAAAAAAAATGTAGGCATATAAATTCCGTTTAATGTGGAGGCCATGGAAACAGTTTTATTTCTATACGAATATGCTTACTTTAAAAATAGAGAAAATATGATGCATTTTGAGCCCGGTCTCATGAAAATGCGTATAAATAGTACGCCAAATAAAAACGAAAACTCGTGGTATTGATACGCAAAAATGGACTTTGGCGTGCATATGATACGCATGTGTTTGGCGTGCATATTATACGCAGTTTTCGCATGCATATGATACGAAATTTGTTGGCGTGTATATGAAATGCAGTTTTCGCGTACATATGATACGCATCTACCCCACAACCCTAAACCTACCCATCGCGTAGCATATACACGCCAAAGTCCATTTTTCCGTATCAATACTACGAGTTTTCGTTTTTATTTGGCGTACTATTTATACGCACTTTCATGAGATCGGGTTGGCAGTTTGTACTCTCAGATGCCATTAGAACTTCCGGTTTAATTTTTCTGGATTCCTTGTTAATTGTTTTTTTCCCCCCTGTTTTGATTTTTCTGAACTCTGTTTCAACATTTAAATTAAATTGTAGTAATCAAAAAGCACATCTAATTAATCGAAATAATAAAACTTATAAAATGTAACAACAATTATTTATGTATTTATTTAGTTGTACAATAATAGGGCCCTATGAAATGCTATTTATTTATTTTTCATTTTCCAAATCACACAGACCTAAAATAATTTCGCGGACCCCACTTTGAGAACCCCTGCCTTAAACTACTAAACTGGAGAAAAATTGCAGCAGTCTTCCTTTGTTCTGCTGAAACGGTTCTGCTAAAATATGCAAAAAGAAAAACTACAATGACTTTGTCCCTCGGCATGCTGGGTAATCTCCCTCAGCTCTCTGTACACACCAAAATCACAAACCAACCCAGATGAGAAATCACACAGTGGGTCGGTGTGGGCGCAGCATTCACGTCTCTGTGGTCTCATGAACTCCTGAAGCCTTTGTTTAACCCACCATCTCTCACAGCTGCTAAATATTCAGTGTTTTTGTTAGCCTATGTGATCATTCATATTCATAAGCACAGAGGAGTTTAGAGCCACTGACGCGCGCGTGAAGGTCTGGAGCATTCAGATGATCTCCCAGAAGAACATTGTATTGATCAGAGGTTAGTTTTTCATCCTAATGGAGTTTCATCAACTTTTTGTTTCTCAAAATGACCCAGATGGGCCAGTAATTACAGTAAGAGTTTAGAGCCATGAAAAACAGCAGATCAGATCATTTGATGAGAAGTGTTTGCATTCATATTCACTGCAAAAAGTGATTTTCTTGATATTTTAGTAAAATATCTAAATGTTCTTAAATTAAAATACATTTACTTGGCATACGTTAAGAAGTCTTGTTTTCTGGGAATCTTAACTTAAAGATAAAAATTCTGTCATTTATTCACTGTCATGTTGTTGCAAACGTTTATGAGTTGTTGATTTTGTCTGTTGGACATAACTTTTTTTTTTTATTTTTTTCATGAGATCGGGTTGGCAGTTTGTACTGTCAGATGCCATTAGAACTTCCGGTTTAATTTTTCTGGATTCCTTGTTAATTGTTTTTTTCCCCCCTGTTTTGATTTTTCTGAACTCTGTTTCAACATTTAAATTAAATTGTAGTAATCAAAAAGCACATCTAATTAATCGAAATAATAAAACTTATAAAATGTAACAACAATTATTTATGTATTTATTTAGTTGTACAATAATAGGGCCCTATGAAATGCTATTTATTTATTTTTCATTTTCCAAATCACACAGACCTAAAATAATTTCGCGGACCCCACTTTGAGAACCCCTGCCTTAAACTACTAAACTGGAGAAAAATTGCAGCAGTCTTCCTTTGTTCTGCTGAAACGGTTCTGCTAAAATATGCAAAAAGAAAAACTACAATGACTTTGTCCCTCGGCATGCTGGGTAATCTCCCTCAGCTCTCTGTACACACCAAAATCACAAACCAACCCAGATGAGAAATCACACAGTGGGTCGGTGTGGGCGCAGCATTCACGTCTCTGTGGTCTCATGAACTCCTGAAGCCTTTGTTTAACCCACCATCTCTCACAGCTGCTAAATATTCAGTGTTTTTGTTAGCCTATGTGATCATTCATATTCATAAGCACAGAGGAGTTTAGAGCCACTGACGCGCGCGTGAAGGTCTGGAGCATTCAGATGATCTCCCAGAAGAACATTGTATTGATCAGAGGTTAGTTTTTCATCCTAATGGAGTTTCATCAACTTTTTGTTTCTCAAAATGACCCAGATGGGCCAGTAATTACAGTAAGAGTTTAGAGCCATGAAAAACAGCAGATCAGATCATTTGATGAGAAGTGTTTGCATTCATATTCACTGCAAAAAGTGATTTTCTTGATATTTTAGTAAAATATCTAAATGTTCTTAAATTAAAATACATTTACTTGGCATACGTTAAGAAGTCTTGTTTTCTGGGAATCTTAACTTAAAGATAAAAATTCTGTCATTTATTCACTGTCATGTTGTTGCAAACGTTTATGAGTTGTTGATTTTGTCTGTTGGACATAACTTTTTTTTTTTTTTTCTTTTTTTTTTAAGAAAGCAGGTGACCAAACGGTTAATGGAAGCCATTGACTTGGATAGTATGCCAAAAAAAACTTTGGACTTTGGAAGTCAGTGGCTACTTGCAACTTTTTGGTCACCACATTGCTCAAAATATCTTCTTTTTAGTTCAGCAGATGAAAGAAACTCATACCAGTTTGGAACAACCTGAAGGTGAGTAAATGATGACAGAATTTAACATTTTTGGTCAACTTTTCCTCTAAAGATAAGAACAAATATCTGCCAATGGAGTCATAAAAAGGAAGTTAACAAGGGATAACGAGTTGGTTTTCTATTGCTCTCATTTTAAGGATAAAAATCACTTAATTTTGATTAATAATATGTCATTTTGTATCTCAAGTAAATGTATCTGAGGAAGAACATCATGCACTTCTTGCATTGTTAAGATCACTGACTTTGGATTACACGTGTCTCCTCTAGACTTTCAGATTTGTATTTTGTCCAATCTCAGCATTCAAAAGATCTCAAACATTTCTCTTCCAATGATCCAGAAGTTCCAGAAAAAAAAGTTCCATGAACGATATATAAATGTTTTTGTGCTAATGTTTTAGAATGTTATGAAAGATCAGATAACTCGGATACTGAACGTTCTATTAACATGACTAGAAGAACGTTTGTTGATAGAACCTTGCCAGAACATTCATAACGTTTCCTGTTAGCTGGTAGTGACTCGTTTATTTCTCCCGAGGAACTGTAGGAGAAATATTCGATACTTTGAAACATGATTCAAATACATTTCCTGCATTGGGAGACTTAATCAGATACTTTAGTTGAACGCAGAATGAAAGTGACATTGATCGGCACATTCTGCTCTTTTCTTATGGATGGCAGTGATGATGAATGAGCAGATTTACCAGCCGTCCTGATTTGATGTTTGAAGCGAGTCTGGTGAGGACACATCAAAAAACTCTCGTACTTCCTGTAGCAGCTTAAGAACCGAATCATAACTCTCACAATCAGACGCATCTGCATCCAGACGCCCGAGGGTGAGTCTGACACCAACAGACATACAGCTACAGCTAAAATATAAATACTCACATTTAAAAAAAAAGAGCAGCTATATCATGGTTCTGCATCTAAATTGTTTTCCATCACTTTTTAATGTTTTAGCTCTTAGTAGTGCATCAATTAAAACACACACACACACACACACACACACACACACACACACACACACATATTCTTAATATATGCTGAATGGTTTAAGTTTAGTGTAGTTTTAGCATAAATCATGTCTTTTATATTTTGCACCTGTTCCGAGAAACTTGTAGTGCATTTGAGTTGAGTGCATTAGGTCAAAATGTAGTGCATTTTAGTTTTTCATGCCGAGAGCTTAATGAAAGACAACAAACAAAGACTACGTGGCAAACTCGTTTGAACAATGGCTCTATGATGGTCTGGAGGATTTACGAGACGTTTGGAGACGCAGGTGTTGATGCTGCTTCACGTCTCTAAACCTCAGATTCTGTCGTTCTAACTGAAAACACTCTTCAACAGCTGCATCGCCTTCAACCGCACACAAAACATGCAAATCTGTTTTGCTCGATTATTCTTGTTTGAGCGAAACAATCTTCATATCAGAGTCAAAAATCGACATCAGGATCATTTCTATATTAGTCTATATTTATGCATTCTTACAATAATTTAATATTTCATTTTACTGGTTCATTTTTCTTCTGATGTGGAGAATTAATCAAAATAATATACAGATACAAATTGTCATATAATGAATAAATGTATATTATGACAATTTATTTCACATATTATATATTCATATTTTTATGTTTTCTTATTGTATAAAAGTTCAAAATATTTGCCATCCTCATTTAATGTGGAAAATTACGAAAAGTAACAATACTGATTATAATAACTATATATTGAATGAATGCATATAATGTTTAATATTATGACCATTTCTATTATGAGAATTTTCCCTATTATATCTTGTTTAATATTATGATCATTTGTATATATTAATAACACTAAACATTACATTTTGAATAAATGCATATTTAATATTATATGACAATTTCTATGTAGTATTATGTTCTATATTTGTATATATTTTTTCCTACTTTATTACACAATTTCCCTTCATTTATTGGTTCATTTATCTTCTGATGTGGGGAATTAATCAAAATGCAATACTGATACCAATTATTATATAAGGAATAAATGTATACTATATTTAATATTATATTATGATCGTGTCAACATATCATGTATGAATAATTTTATGCATTTTTCCTATTACGCTTTTTGTAGTATTTATCTTCATTTGTTCATTTATCTTCTAATATGGAGAATCAAAATAATATATTAGTTATTATGAGTAAATATAGCGCTGAACTCATTTACAGTGATTATTATGAATCAACTTTCAAAACATTTAGTTGTCCTTTCCGTTCAGACTGTAACCTGACCCCGTCTGTGGCTTCATTGCCGCTGATGAAATGTCTCGATCGTTTCTAGTGAAAAGTAAGAGGGCGGGGCATCACTCCACACGCCCCGCCCACTCTCAGCATCAGCATCATGACGGATGGACATCCAGCAGTCGCTCAGCGGCTCTGGAGCTGCTGCCCTGCACATCCACCGACAGCAGCCGGACCCAAAACAGCACTGATGGAGCTGGAGCTGAAGCCTGGCCTTCATCCACTGCAGGTACATGAAGAACAGCTCAGCACAGTGTAGCCTAACACCAGCAGTGTCTGAATAGTGCGGCAGATTGAGCATGATATGAAATAAATGCACTGAGGGAGATTCTCATGACATTGTGAAGACACTCATATAGAAAATAGGGTCTGAATTATAAAATACCCGCAGCTCATGAGAACTTAACTTCAACAAAGCTCCTGCAAATGACTCCCATTAATTGATATAATCAACTTGAGTGACTCATTATGATATGATCCAAGAACTAAATACCTCACCCCAAACTATTCTATTCCGATTATTTAATAGCCCAGCTAACAGTTATGAAAACATTATTTCGTCCTGTTTTTAAATACTTATTTTTCTCTTATTACTTTGAATGAACATCCTGAAACAACTAGTGATATTTAAATGTTAGACGGACGTCCAACTAAAAGGTTTTGGTTGTTGCTCACATTTTCAGAACATTATTAAAGACTCTCTAACTCTGAACAAATGTTTATGTTTTATGTTACTATGACAACATTTGTTCATAACATTCAGAACGCTCTAAAATGTTCCATGTTAGCTGGGAATATTCATTAATGTTTAAAATAGTGTTTAATAATAACAAAAACTGTTTAAACTGCCTCATATTATGCTGTTCAGTTTTAAGAATACATTTCCCATAAAGCGAGCCTAAGAGCTGTAAATGCCCGTTCAAACCAGGGCAATAAAACGGTAACGATAGTTTCAAAAGTTTTAATAACCGTTCTACAGTTACAACAAAAACGGCACAAAGAATCACTGGAATCACTAACAGAACGATTTTCCCAGCTTATGAGTTATAAAAAAGATTATAAAATCCACCCAGCATGTAAAGCGGCAAACAAAACGGCAGCGTTTAAAATAAACAGAATCAGAGTTGCCAAGTCCACGTGTTTTACATGGGCTACTTTTTTTTTTGTTAAAGTCGCCATGAAATCAAAATTTAAAATTCTTATTTTTATATGTAATATTGTAGTGTTTGTTATAAATGATTTATCTGTGCACTTCATTATTTTTTAAAAATTCCTGTGCCCTCATAATCTTTAAAGGGGTCATATGATGCTGCTAAAAAGAATATTATTTTGTGTATTTGGTGTAATGAAATGTGTTTATGGTTAAAAAAACACATTATTTTCCACATACTGTACATTATTGTTTCTCCTCTATGCCCCGCCTTTCTGAAAAGCGTTGATTTTTACAAAGCTCATCGGTCTGAAAAGCGAGGTGTGCTCTGATTGGCCAGCTATCCAGTGCGTTGTGATTGGCCGAATGCCTCAAGCACGTGAAGGAAATGTTATGCCCCTTACCATATTGTGATGCCTTGTGTCCTGGCCAGAGCAACGAGACAAAAACATTAAAACCATAGACTGTATAAAAAACATGGAGTTTCGCTTTCACAACGAAACACACGGTGGGCTAGAGTGAGCGGTTTCAAAGCAGGTTTCAGTTTGCTATAGTTGCAGGCTCATTTATTGATAATAAAGAATATTGATGATGATAATAAATAAATATAATAATATTGGGCTTGTTTTGCTTATTTATCTTGTGAGAGTTGGCAGCTCTTTACAGAACGTTAATCCTGGATTAAACGGACCTCAATGAAGAGAACTGACTGATTGTGTGATTCAAAGTGTGCGCTGCAAAAATGATTAAATCCTTGTACTGCGCAAAAACACCAGTTAGCGGTTCGTTTTATTTTAATTAATGTCGACAGCCATGGTTTCTGCATGCTGAGATGAAAAGACACGATGTTGTCTTGTGTGTGATAGCAGGGAAGCAGTCTGGAGTTTGTCCCTCGTCTGACCTGTCGTCCTCTGCTGCTGTGGAGAGACAGCACGATCTGGAGCGTCTGATTCAGGCTTTACTCAGTCACCATCAGCTGACCAACGTCCAGACGCCGCTGTGTGAGAGGGTGAGGAACTGCCGGATGTGTCCTTCAATGCGGGGGGTTTCAAACTTTTTGGAGCCAGGGACCCCTTACAGGGGAGAGGGTCTTCCAAGGACCCCCTCATTATAACAGTGTTTAAGGCTAAAGGTAATGTGGGTGGGAGTAATGAACATAATATGATTGTTTTATTGGTCACTGTAAAAAATAATTTTGAGATTTTGCCATTTCAACTTATTTTTTTGTAGACAAAACTAATTTTTAATTAATTTTCCAGACAACAAGAAAGTTTAAGTTTATTGGCCCTCAGCTAAGCTGAAATTTGAATGAACTAGAAACGCATGTTGAAACAACTGCATCACACCAAAAAAATAAAAAATTAAGATAGCAAAAAAATGAAGGCAGCTGGGTAACAGTTTTTTTTTTAAAGTTGACTCAACAAACTGGCTTTGTTTTTAATGTGAATTTAATAAATACAAAAAATGTTGTAAGTTACTAATTATAATGCCTTCATTGTGAGAAAAAAAGGCAGAATTGTGAGCTAAAAGTTGCAATTACCTATTTTTTATTCAGTCGGCTTTCTTATTTTTTATTCTGTGAAAAACAGAACTGTGAGATGTAAACTCAAAATTGAGGAAAAAGTCTGAATTGTGAGATAAAAAAATAAATCAAATCAAATAAATAGAGAAATGAATTGCGACTTTTTTGTTAATTCCGTGGCAGAAACGGGCTTCCATATTAATCCAAAGCGGCTCGCAAATGAGAAATATAGAAGAATACCTGATTTAATCAGATATTTTATAAAGTAAAAATGAATAGAGTAAAATATGAAGATATAGAAACTGATTTGATAATGATTTAACAATTCAGACTGGACATGCTTTAGTCCCGATCTGATATCACCTGACAGGATTTTCACACATTCACACGTGGGTTTTTGTGTGGGTTTCATGCTGAAACAATTCATGCTTCATGCATGATGATGACGTGCACATTTTAAACCCCAAACTTGATTCACATAAGATCACATGTGGTTGATCAGTAACAGATCAGAAAACACTATGCTATTTCCACTGATTATATGGTGTGATATTAATATTGCTATGCCTTCTGTAGCTCCTGTCCTCCGCCCTGGGTTTGGCATCGCACTTGTGCAAGTCACATGACAACAGGGCTGCTCTCCAATTGGCCGGCTCCACAGGCCATACCCAGCAGCATTATGGGTACAGACCTACGGGAATATTGAGGGTGAGAGTAAGTACTGAACTCTTGCTGTATACATAATATCATGCATATTATTAGCATATTACAGTCAACTAAAACCATACAATTTTTTACTTGAAATATATAAACAAAAATCTTGGCAGTCTGATCAAATAATGTGTAAAGAGATGTAGTAGGTCATCCAGATATCATGCATACAGAAAGTTTACATGCTGCGTGAAGAGTCTACATACTATATATACAGCATAACTAGTATAATAATACTATTCTATTCTAAACACAGCCCGTATGAATGTGTGTTTCAGGAGCGGAGTTTCGCCTGTAAGGTTTGTGGGAAGGTGTTTAAGAGGTCGTTGACTCTCTCCACACACCAGCTCATTCACTCGGACACGCGGCCGTTCCCGTGCCCCTACTGCGGAAAGAGATTCCACCAGAAATCTGACATGAAGAAACATACATTTATACACACAGGTAAAATGCTTTTTCCATTGACTTAAAATTCCATTAATAGCCTAATTAAAACGAATTATAAGGCGATTCCGGAATGCAACATGCTAGAGTCAGAATCTCTGGACCCTTATATTTCTGGACCCCATTATTTCCGTGGTTCTTAGAAACGGAAGTCACAGCTTGGTAAACAGAAACTACACCTAATATCATTTTGGTGTTCCAGTTTTGCTCCAGTTGCCAAAACAAAAACACACACACACATACACACACACACACACACACACACACAATAGAGTTTCTATGACTTTACACAAGTGGGAAAAAAATATTGAGACATTATGTTGGTCAGAAGAAAGATGTTAAATTTGACATTACTCACACAGCAGCGTTAAAGTAGTTTTCTGTAATTTAATGCTAATAACAGAAAGTGCATTAAGAACTGTGGAAACGCGTCATATCCTGTGAGTAGAGTCCATTAGAGTTTGTGTAAACCAGTAAACCAAATGGTCTGTTATTCAGGTAGCTGCTATAAAAGACGTCAATTTAAAGGGGTCATATGATGCGATTTCAAGTTTTCCTTTCTCTTTGGAGTGTTACAAGCTGATTGTGCATAGATAAGATCCCTGAAGTTGCAAAGACTAAAGTCTCAAAACCAAAGAGATATTCTTTATCAAAGTTAAGACTCTGCCACGCCCCCCTAAAACGTCTCGTTCTAACACGCCCCCACATATCTAGGTCACTATGTGGGAATATTTGCATAATGCCGCCCAAATGTTCATGCAAAGAAAGAAGGCGTGGTTTCAGTAACCGCAGTTAGTGTTGAAGCAGCCATGTCAGGGAGACGCTGTGTGTTTCTAGGCGAAAGCAAAAGCACTTTATTTGGCCTTCTGGAAGTAGATGCATTTAGGAATCTTTAAGATTACTTACAACAGAACAGCAATGCATTTTATGGACGACCGTTTCGTGAACCTAGGAGAGGAGGTAGTTCTGATTTTGCTATGACTGGCGCTTCTGAATCAGCTACTGTTTTGTTATTAGTTTAAGTATTTGCTATTGACTGTTCAAATGCGGAGTTTTGCGCATCGTGTGTGTGTGTGTGTGTGTGAGAGAGAAAGAGAAAGAGAGAAAGAGAGACAGGATCACATCACAGTGGAGTCAACTGTCTTAACGTGACTTGTGTACTGCAAACACATATTCATCACTGTGTCTGTCACGAGACTCTGTTCCCCTTTCAGGCTCTGTCTTTACATTTATTTTGAAAGATGAAGCTTGCGATTATGGTAAGGGGTGTTACATTTCCGACGAGTGCTTGCGGTGTTCGGCCAAACAATTATATTCATTTAGTAACATAAATATATCTTAGTGTAGGCTATATCTTTAGAGTTTTATAATTCATTATCTTCTTGTCGATCCACCAGTTCGCATTTACAACTGCGTGTTTTCTGCGTAAAAATAAGGGTCGTTTTTGGCTTTGGTCTAAACAAAGCGCAAAAAGGGCTTATTGAAAACTGCAAATTCATTCTCTGCCAGTAGATGGCGCTTTTCGCCAGGAATATAGCCGTTTCCCCGGTAACTGCAGTAAACAAGGTGCGGCACCTGACTTTGAAACTTGCAGCGCTCATATTTAATCAATTAAATAGCCTTTTGAAGTGTAAGCTATATCTCAAGAACATTAAAGCATGTCAACATATTCTGTTACACAAAATACACAAATGGGGGGGGATGGTTAGGCGGAGTCAAAAGTAACTATTTTTATATTAGGCCTATATTATATTAATTTAAACAATTATTATCAAACAATTATATTCATTTAGTAACATAAATATATCTTAGTGTAGGCTATATCTTTAGAGTTTTATAATTCATTATCTTCTTGTCGATCCACCAGTTCGCATTTACAACTGCGTGTTTTCTGCGTAAAAATAAGGGTCGTTTTTGGCTTTGGTCTAAACAAAGCGCAAAAAGGGCTTATTGAAAACTGCAAATTCATTCTCTGCCAGTAGATGGCGCTTTTCGCCAGGAATATAGCCGTTTCCCCGGTAACTGCAGTAAACAAGGTGCGGCACCTGACTTTGAAACTTGCAGCGCTCATATTTAATCAATTAAATAGCCTTTTGAAGTGTAAGCTATATCTCAATTTACATGTATATTTTTTTTTTTCCACTGGAGCACCACCTGAGTCTTCTCCTCCCATTTCTAGCAGTGATCATTGTTTCCTTCCCGTGGCACTGCGCACATATCAATAGCATCGCTGGGCTGTAGGTTGCAAAGTTGAGGGGACAAATGGGTTGCAATTTGTATGCGTCGATCGTGTGAGAAAGATGCGTTTCATACAAGATCTGGCAACTGGACAACCTTGGAATTTGTTGTCGTGATTATTCATATGATGAGGTTTGGCCCATACAAATTACAGGAGTTTTACCGGAAGCGAATGTAGCAAGCATATAAAATACGCCCAGTGGGATTTTTTTATAGAAAGATTAAAAATACGGGAGAAATACGGGAAAATATTTAAACGGGATGATAGCGGGATAGAATGGTAAAATCCGGGAGAATCCCGGGAAAAACGGGAAGGTTGACAGGTATGTACAGTTCTACTGTTGTTGTTGTTTTTTGCACTTTATTCTTTTAGTCACTTATAGCGGCTAATAAATCAGAAGTCTCGCGCATTCACAGAAAATAACTTGTGCGTTGCAAAATAAGGTGGAAAGTGTTGTGAGACTGAAAAATGAAGCACTTGATTTGCGTTTCCGTGCACTTGTGTGCTTAAAGCAGATTAGCTGCCCGTGTAGTCAGTAGTAGACAGCAAGGCATAATGCGTGTGATCGCTGTCATCTCTCAGGTGAGAAGCCTCATGTGTGCGTGGTGTGCGGTAAAGCGTTCAGCCAGAGCTCCAATCTGATCACACACAGCAGGAAACACAGTAGCTACCAGCCCTTCAGCTGCTCGCGCTGCCCGCTCAGCTTCCAGAGGAGACTCGACCTACAGCGACACCTACAGACGCACTCGGAGAACGACAGCGGACTGTACCACGGGACCTGAGAGAGACCAGCTGCACACAAACGCCTCTTTTTTTTTTTTATCCTAAAGTACTACTTTAGAATGTTTGTCAATTTAAGATGTTTGCACCAAAAACATTGTTCTTCTGTCCTTCTAACTTGATTGTACACGTCGTTGCATTGTGAAATATATCAGAACATCCTACCCAGACAGCAACTTAGTGTTGGCCCAGATCCAGCCCACATCTGGCCCATGTGGAATAAGGATGGGCCAGATGTGGGCTGAATCTGGGCCAACTCTATGTTGCTGTCTGGGTATACTGTACATTTATGGCTTAAAGACATGTTATTATTGGATGTTCATGGTTGTCATAATCACAAGGATTCACGATTTTGAGTCAGAACATCATTTCAAATGAGCAGGAGTCATCTCGATGTCCATATTAGCTTTAATAATAAAAATAGCAATGCAACAGAACTGTTAAATCTCAGCATTGTGAAAAGTACTTAAACAGGTATTTCTGTATTCTCAAGATCTCAGCAGGGGCCAGTTGTTCAAAAGTAATCTGATCGGATTTTGGCCATCGGATTGGATCAAATCTTGAAAATGGGTTGTTCAAAAGAAAAAAAAAAATAGGATTCTGAATTCAGATTAGATCACAAAATCCAATCTTGGTTTTGATCTGGATTATATCCTCAGTTTGTGTTGTACAAAATGTTTTAGTAAGATTGGGAAACCTTTGATCAAAAAAAACTGGATTATTCTGATCCCAGCAGAAGGGTGGATTTCAGGAACAAAAATTTAATAAAACTTTAAAACTGGTCCAAAAAATAGACGAGATGGACCAGTCAGAAGTAGTTATATGTGTAAATGCAATGCAAAGCATTGGCGTGTTTTTTCCATCACCATGTCCCTTTAGGGGCTCCGTAGAGCACTAGTACTCCAGATTTGGAAATCTGAAAAAGTGTGTATCTGGATCAGGGTGATCCAATCCCATTTTGCTTTGAAAAACCGGCACAAAAATAAAATGGTTACCTGATCCTGGATAGCAAAACATAGGATTTCCAAATCCAGATCATTCTGATCCAGATTAAACTTTTTGAACAACTGGCCCCAGATTACATCTTGTTTTAAACACAAATGACAGATAAAAGATCTTTCCCAACCCTCACTGTCGGCGTATCCGGGCTTTATTTCTTTAATACTGAAGACATATTTGTCTAGGACTACAACACACTGACTTAAAAACAATGAAAGGAGTGGAAATTAAATAAATTAAAGAACATTAGAGGAGCGCAAATCTGTGATCGGTTCACATGATGTTACATTTAGCAGCACAATAAAAGCAGCAAGTACAATCAGTTACAAGCACCTCAGAACAGTGGTACACAAATTGAGCTTTAAAGAAAGCAGAAATCACACGAGACATGATAGTTTGTTCGTTTCTGTCACGTTCCGACGGTCGTGTCTTCAGTTGACCTCGTGGAAAGTGCTGGTCAGCTCCATCAGCACCGGCAGCGGGTTCCTGAGTCCACTGTCCTCTATGACACCGCCTCTCTGGCTCACGTCAGGCCTTCCTGACAACCAACAAGCGTGTTTTGTGTTAATAAGCAGCTGTCATGTAGAAATCGCTGTTAAGATTGTCGTTTTGCATGAGGTTTGTACCAGTGTGACTGTAGATGCACCACAGCGCCCCCATCAGACACAAACCCATCACAAACGCAGAGAACACGACCACTAACACAGGACCCTTGTCTGTTTCTGGAACACAAACCACAGCATAAATAAACGGGCCTAACGCTATCCATCTTATTTTAACATAAGAGTAGACACAGCCATTTTTTAATGAATTGGAAGTCTTGCACATTTACAGGAAACCCCGATAGCACACGTACATCACATATTATTTGACATCTGCAAGACGTATTTTTTAGAGTGTTTGCTCATCTGCAATACGCCTACAGGACGTTTGTCAAATAGACGTTTAGAAGATGTCTTTAAGATGTTTATGATTTAGAATGAATGTAAAACTGACATCTTTCAGATGTCTATCAGATGTTTGTACACAGCAGATGCTTTCCAGATGAAGCGATCTTTAACAGACGTACCTGTGATATCTGTGTAAAAGGTGGATAATATATGAAGGGATAGTTCAGCCAAAAATGAAACTTCTCTGATTTTCCTCACCCTCAAGTTGTTCCCAACCTGTATGAGTTTCTTTCTTCTGCTAGACATAAAGATGTTTTGAAGAATGTGTACCACTAAACAGTTTCTGGCCCCCATTGACTTATTTTTTCCCCCCATACTGTTAAAGCCAGTGGGGACCAAGTGCTGTTTGATCACCCACATTCTTAAAAATATCTTCTTTTATTTTAAATAGAAGAAAGAAATTCATACAGGTTTGGAACAACTTGAAGGGGAGTAAATGATGACTTATTTTATTTTTGGGTTAACTATCCCTTTAATTTCCTTGCAAAGAAAATTAACCAAAAATGATTTAAGTCAAAAGAATGATTTCTGAAGGAGGGGTAAAACGCACCGCTGTGTGCCGGAGACGTCTCAGAAGGCTTTTGAGCAGTTTTCCCTGATAAACACACACACACACAAACATGACAAAACACTGCAAGTGTTAGTTACGCTTTGTGTGAATGAGAGGTGAGAATGAGGAAGTGTACAAACCAGCAGGAGGAGCCAGAAACCCAGCAGGATACGTGACCAACACGGGCCGAGACAGATTTCTGTACTCACACTGTACCACAGAAAGAGAGACAGATTTGAGATGTTTAGCTACTAGCAGACTGACGTTTCGTAAATGATCTCATGCTGAGATCTCATTAGTGCTCGATCATTAAGAGCACAATAAGAACCCTAAAGAATTGAAGAATTCTGCTTCCAGTTCCATTCTTTTAGAACTTTTGAGAATTGACCCTATTTTGCCTCAGTGGCCGACGCAACTTCCTGTGTATGCAAATTGTGAGAAAATTAACCACAAAATTAAGTATCACAGAACAGGACAAAGCAATATTGATGCGATACATCTTTAAACATATTTGAAGCTTCTAGAACTAAAAAAGGTATGGTTTAATATAATATACAAAAATGTTATTATACGTTAGTTAATATTACGTAATGTATTATATAATCAGTTATAACAAATATGACAATGAGCTACTGCTACTACCACAGGTTTCTATACCAGAAGCTCACATAGCATTAACATTTTAGCAAAACATACATAGTAGGCGTGCATGGAGTCAATTGGTCCTCCTAATTATGTACTAAATAAGAAAAAAAGCCCAATTTGGTAGCACATTTTAATGTTTTTAATTTTATAATGTTATTTAGCACAACAAGACTTCTGAATGTGTTTCTTTAATAAAACACTGTCATATGAACAACTGTCATTACTGATTTATTTTTAGTGAGAAAATCCAAGAGTGAGAAGTCATTTGGTGATTCAAATCCCACAGCTTATGGGCTTTTAGGCCGATTTGTGAGTCACTGAGAGAACTGGGTCATAAGAGTCTTTTGTTCATGAATCAGATTATACTGATGATGTGCAACCAGCAAAAACAATGCAACAGAAACATGCGTGGTCTATTTATTGTTGTGTATTATAGAACTACAGTTGTACCTCATATAAAGTAATGACACAAGTCTCCCTGTCATGTTTGGTAGTGCTGGGTGCTTTGAAATCTTTGCGAATCATTTGTTTTGGACCAATTGGTTCGGAGAATGTATCAAACTGCTGTAGTCACAAGATGTTTCGAATAGTCTCTTATTGGCCTGATTAACCGAGCTCTTGACCAAATAAACAAAACAAGCCCTGCAAACTAATAAAAGAACACATATTTTACAGACAATTTATATTTAATGGTATCAGATGATTTGTTCATTTAATTTAATAAAACATTTGCAATTGGTTTGTAAAATGACACAAGTCTCCCTGTCATGTTTGGTAGTGCTGGGTGCTTTGAAACCTTTGCGAATCATTTCATTTTGGACCAATTGGTTCGGAGAATGTATCAAACTGCCGTAGTCGCAAGATGTTTCGAATAGCCTGCAAACTAATAAAAGAACACATATTTTACAGACAATTTATATTTAATGGTATCAGATGATTTGTTCATTTAATTTAATAATTGCACTTTCAATAAAACATTTGCAATTGGTTTGTAAAAGCTGTTTTTATGCATATTTGGCATGAGTTTTTGTTGCATTTACACAGATTTGGCCAGCAGGCGTCACTAGCGTGTGGCATTATGAGCGCTTCGAAACAGTGAATCATTTTGCAAAGCAATTGGTTCAACTGATTCAACGTTTCGAACAGCTTCATTACCTGTTGAGACGCAGTTGTGTGTGTGAGAGCAGGTATCTGAGGCCCGTCTGCGCAGATCCGAGCGGCGGCCCCTGAGGGCCCCTCATCTGATGCGCACAGATGCAGCCGGCAATGCAGGAACTGGATGGGGTTATTAAAGATGGGCCGCAGGATGAAACTGAACCGCAGCGTGTTTGCGCTCTCGCATTCGCCCTCCCGTCTCTTCCGTCTGCGTTCCTCAGGTTTCCTCGCTCGCAGTCTGTCGGGTCTCTTGTCTTTGTTTCGTCTCGCTCTCTCGTCTCCGCTGCGGCTCGCTGTCTGTCTCCAGCGAGAGAGTGGCTGCGACGGTCTTCTGTCGTCTTTCCTGTCTGCCTTCTCGTCTTCATCATGTCCTGTGCTGTCTGTGGATTCCCGGGTTTCTCTGTGGCTCAGTGTGAAGGACGGGTCGGACGGGCAGGAGTCTCTGATGACAGACCAGCCGCTGTGAGCCTGCGGATCTGAGAGAGGAGAGACCAGACATGACTGGAGCTCCACAGCCTCCGCAACACCTGAACTCACTGAGATCTGACAGAGAGAAACAGAAAGAAATGACAA